TTGGGAAAGCAAGGCTATGTGAAATTCACTGGAAAAGTCAGCTAAACTCATATCATTGTGGGAAAATTCTTCTTCTACCAGTCCTTCATCACCTACACGAAATAGGGTGAATACATCTCATTATAAAAAACTCTGTTTAATAGATCCCATCAGGAGACGACTTTACTGGCATCTACGGATTGACTCCCTCATTGAGGCAATCACCAGAACAAAGCATCATCATTACGGCTAACTCAAGCTAGCCAGGCAATAAAACTCACCGACTTAGCACTAATTACTTTTTATATACTTCAGCCAAGCATAGAGTGATTTGATTAGTTCATATCATATGCCAATCCAGCAACATGTGTGTTCATGTTTACGTAAGGGTGCGAAGCCAATAGTACTGGCTCCAAGTAATTAGACCAGGGCGCAACACCTTTTCTCGGTCTTCACGGTAGATGACCTTTTTAATCACTATTCCGATAGTACACAGCCCGGCACACGTCTGGTTAGTGTATGGATGTGATTAGACTCATAACCACAAAGGACCAATTCTGTCGCCTCATCCTTCTTCATCTGGCAGAGGGAACCGATCTTACAATCTCTTCCTCATACTTTTTCCCTTGTCATAATGTTGATCACAGCAATTGTAAACCAAGCGATTCCTCTAAAAGTAACTTTTATTAGGCTAAATAGAGTACCATGACGGTAAAGTACGAGGAAACAAAGCAAAGTTTCAAAAATGCCCAGTATTTCTGCGAAATAACAACTTTTCCTCATACATGCTGACCTCAATCACACGACAGCTTGCCTCGACGCGGGGGGCTCGAACTTCTTAGGAAATCCGATTTCATTATAGATGTTTAAAGTGTAGCATAACCCTGATTTTTAGCATGCTAAAATATAAATTATATTCCAGCAGAGCTAAACAATAATTTTGGTCGAGTTGAACATGTCAGCAAACGTTTATGTTCTTTCGCCCTCGGAAGTTGCTAATTTCGAGGCCGACTCGTTGCCTCGTGAAGGTCATATTGTCTTTTGATGTGTTAGTATTAGTCGCCTAAACCATTGGAAATATTGAAAAACGGGCATAATAAAGAGTCAGCGGACCATCTTCACATTCTTTCGCATTCTTTCGCATTTAGCTGCTCATTCCCTAAGTAAGTCTTTCTGACTGGTCATTTAAGTCTCAGTCTTCAGACTTTCTCAGTTTAGCACGTTTTTCGTGCCAATTTTTCCTTATTGACAGATTGGCTCAAGCCAACCAGGCCTTGAAAACAAAACACACGAACATAGTCACCACCGCCTCCCTAGCCCACATAAGACCGATCTTCTACGACATGGGATTTGGAATGCCGATTTTGTACCCTCTCTTCTTCCGGGTTTGTCAAGCTTCCTTTACTCTTAGACTCGATAGGGTGAAATTTGATGGGATGGGGTGTGTTCTGTTTTGCTGTGCTTTGCTTGTCCACATAATCTCGTATTTTGTGCTGCGACGTGACGGTCTGGATGAAGCACCCTCTTTCCAAGTGACACCATTTGCTGTATCGCAGTACCACCTTGTGCGTGCCGACAAGGAGGTGTTCGAAGAATGATGAGATTCTTGTTATTGTCGTCATTCTGATTAATGCTAGTGACATGGCCGATGACGGTGAAGTATGCTGGCCTGTTGAGCGGACCACTTGTGGACATGGACTGCTTATTATTGGACTTGGAGAGAAAGAAAGAGAGAGATACACCAAAATTTGACCCTGCTTCGAGTCTGTGCTCATTAGGCCCTGCTATCTACACTCCAACCTTAGAGTGGCATTCTTTGCTATTCTACAGCTTGTCTTTTCACTATTTTGCAGTCCTAATTCGAAGAAAAAAATGGTAAGCTATACAAATTTCAGAGATATGATCTACCGATGGTCTCGAAAACCTACTTACAAACGAAGGATAAGCATTTTGCTCGTCTCCTATAACAAATACAGCATTGCTTCGTCGGTAATCCCACCACAGTGTGTGGTGTGGGAAAGGCTTAGGCTTCCTTGAAATTCACATCTGCTCTGTGACCCACGGACATTCGTGGCATTGTGGCGTAGTGGTTAACGTGTCGAGACCGTACGCTGCAGTATCATGGTTAGAGTCCCGCTGGATGAGAACTCCTCTTGGGAAAGCAAGGCTATGTTAAATTGTATGTAAACGTCAGTTCTATTCATATCATTGTGGGACAATTCAATTACCAGTCGCCTTGTCATCCTAAATGAAGTTGAATTAATACATCTCATACACATGATCTACTAGTAGTCTCGAAAGTCTACTTATATAAAAGCGAAAAAAATGCATAGATATTTTTATATATGCACTGGTGTACACATACATACGCATATATACATACACTCACCGGTTTTAAATGAAAGTATATCGTCTAGGCAGCCCAATGCAATTTAAATCTATTTTCTGGCTACTCAAGTAATTAATTAAGATATATTGCCTCTATTTTCACAATTGCCCTCGTTTTGATGACCAGTGAGTCCATGACCCTTTTCTAGAAGCTAGCTCGAATGACCATCGGAAATTCTGAAATCAGAATGGACTCGATCCGAGATTCATCAAGCAAATAACTGTTGGCTAGTGCACTCTTGATCCACACACGATTCAAAGTCTTCTAGTTCTTACTCCTTTTCCGTTTTATTGTACCTTTCGTTTCTTTTGAAAAGGTGGATATAAGAAACTTGAAAAATAGCTTCACCAGAAGCCGATGTAAGATCTCTCTGGCATCGTGGATGCTGACCTGAATACGGAAGTTTGCGGCCCACCGTCCTCTGATTATGATGCGCTGTCCTAAGCCTCATTCTACAATAATTGACGCATGATTTTTCATTTCGAGGGAAAATTTGGTTAGACGAAGTTCATTAATTGGTCTCAGCGGAAAACAGAGTAGGATTGCCTAGGAGTCAAGACCGTTGAATTGACGAAGAAGTCCTCCAAGGCAATCCTTCTTCGTTTTTCAACCAAATTTTCATTCGAAATGCAAATCATGTCACGATAAATCACCAAG